CGGCGGACCCCAGCTCGCGACGTTCTCAGCCCGGAGCCGCGGAGCAGCCCCGGGCGGCGCCTCGGGGCCGCCTCGCTGGACGGGCCCTGTGGCTCGGGGGGGCCCGGGCACCCCCGGGATCAAGGGACCACCGGGCCCCGGCGTTGCCTTCCCCGGGCTTCAGCCCTCGGTCAGCCTTGGGCCTGGCTGGAATGGGGGTGGGCTTCCTTCCCTCCTTCTGCGCCCCACCGCCCCCTCCGCCCTGGGGGGCACGTCAGAGAAGGCTTCTGGACCTAGCCCGGCACAGATCCCCCTTCTTGTTACGCCCTCAGCTGAGAGCGACGTGTGTTTCTTTGTGGAAATTGGGGCAAGAGGATTTAAGCGTTTATAAAGAAAGCATCAAGTCCGGTGCAAAAACTGCCGAGGCGTCGGTCTCGCCCTGCTTAAGCCTGTTTCTTTTCATCAGGCCCTCCAGGTGGCCGTGCAAGGAGACAGTGGGATAGCATCATTCCCTTCTCCAGGGAGGCTGTGGAAGGTAGTTCTGGCATGCTCAGTGCCTTAAACCTTGCTCTACAGAGTATGCTGTACCTTGAGGCTGCACCTACGCTGACAGCTCAGGCCAGGCTATCCAGGTGTCTGGAGGAAGCAGTCTAGCATGCAGGCAGAAGCCAGATGCTCCCCCTGAGTAAGTGTGGGGAGAGCATCTTCTCTGGGCAACTAGAGCGAACCGTATAGAGTTTAAAAGCAAAGCAACAGCCGTGGTGGGTGCCCAAACAATCCTTGGTCTCTGCTTGAATTGTAAGGAAAGATGCAGAACTGGGTTGTTGTCGTAGGCAAAAAGACCAACTCCTTGGAAGTTGTCACAAAACAGGAACGTAGGTCATCTGCCCTTCCGAAAACATCCTTTGCTGTTCTGAATTTCTGGGCTTTTGAGTTGCTCTGTTTGTAAAGTAATCATGGCCATCCACTGAGAAAGGGTGGGAAAAATGACTGAAAAAAGTCCTGGGGGCCAAAGTTGCACTAAGCATGGATTGACATGAAGCCATCTTACAGCGGTGTTCTGGGTTCCTTTGGCCTCGCATCTGCAAGGCATAGTTATTGTGCCACTAAATGAGTAAATAACAGATCAATGTCAACTCCTTCAGCATGAAAACCCACCTTTCAGTTCCTCCTGATCAAGATGGCGTCTTTTTTTCCCCCTTCAGGCACGTTGGAGCCATGAAGGAAAGCATTCAAGACAAGAAGTACTGGGGGGCTTCCCCCAGCCTCCATGACCCCGTAGGACATCAAGACCAGTTTTGCAGGGCTTCCCGGGAATGGAGCGAACCGGAGCATAAACATGGCGGTTGCTTTGAGGGAAGCAGGCACTTGGCCTGCGCCAAGAAACAGCTTCCGAGTTTTGACCCCTTATCCTCCAGCAGTGATGAGGAGCAGGAAGGCAAATGGGATCTCTCCTGCATGTCTAGCTGGGGAGTAGCGGGGGGGCCTTCGGAGCTCTCTCGGAACAAAGCTGGCAGGGGGAAGATTGCCAGGAGTGGGGGGCGCGCCTGGCCCTTTGAAGTAGGGACCGGCTCTCATTCCAGAAGGCGTCCACAACTGCTGGGGACCTCCAGGCGACATTGTTTTCGCCGCCGGCGACAGCGTGCCCTGCGGGCCTTCCGGATGTTCCTGTATTCTAAGAGCTCCTCCCTGGCATTCCAATGGAAGCTTTGGGGCAAGATGGCTGCCAAGGGGCGCCGACGAGGAGGGGCAAAGCGGGTCCGGTCATCCATGTCTCTCTCCCCTGGCTCCCAGCCAGATGATGACCACCTTCCCGTCTATAAGAAAAGCTGCCCTTTGGGGGGAGAGGAGGAGGACTGCCAAAGTGGGGCCAAGGGCCGGCCCCACCCTGCTGGCTACAAGCCACACTCTTCTGAGCCCCACCTGGACTACGAATTGGGTGGAGCCTTCCCCCCATCTCCATCCACACCTCAGCCCTCCCGTCTCAGCTTGCTGGGAGCCCTGATGGAGGATGCTTCCTCCTATCCTCAGTATGTGGAGCTGCAGCGGGTGAGCTTTGACAAGGACGCTGGCGCAGTGGACCTAGAGGAAGAAGAGTCTGCCGCTCTCCTCAAGTACCCTGCGAGGGGAGCCCAGGCTTCCCCCAGGACTAGGAAGATGGGAGAGCCGGAGCACAGCCTGGACGGCGATGGAGGTAAAACGCAGATATTTGGGTTTCTGCTCTTGAGCCCTTCGTCTTCTTTGTGGTGCTAATTTATACATGAGACTGTCATGGAAGGGCTGGTTTTAATTGCTGCGCGTTCTGCCATGTCTGTCAATATGCAAGTGGGGCCGGTACCACGGTAAGCAGTTCTAAGCAGAAAGCCCCCTATTTGACTGTGCTGCCCTTAGGCAAGGTCTCTTCTCAGATTGCAATATTTACTAATTGTTCTCTGGCCTGGGCATTTATTGATCTGGGCAAGGTAAGTCAGAAGAGAAATCTATAAATGGGGTGCCACAATAACGTAGAGGGTAAGGAGGAAGGATAGGAAGATCAAGCAAGGCGATTTGGGTATCAGTATGGTGCTGCAAAATGGTGTCAGAGGCTGTTGGTGGTTGACAAAGGCAATTGGGAAAGTCTGAAGGCTGGTTGGTGTAAGGGCCCCTTGCTGCCTCGCTTCTGCTGTTGGAAGCAACCAGGCCAAAGCAAGTAGAGCTCCATCTCTGGCTGTACTTGGTGGTAGGAATGGAAAAGCCTTCTCTTTTATTTAGTTATTGCATTTTTACACTGCCCGACTCCCAGCGACTCTGGGCAGTTCACAGTTAGAAGCACACAAAACAATAAAATCAAAGAATGATAATGAACAAAAAATGTCACGAACAGGATGACCAAAGCAAACCCACATTGCCCTGAAGGGAGCTTCAATCACCCTCACCAAAGGCCAGGGTGGGGGATCTCATGGAGAACCTCACTTCAGAGGGCAGGTGCTATGGCAAAGAAGATACGCTTCCGGGGGTCCCAATAGATGTTATTGTTTAATCAAAGGAACCCAGAATGCAGGTTTGGGTAACCCTATGTAGAGTGTGTGGCAGTAGTCAGGTCGCAAGGCGAGCAGGGCATGAGTGACTGAAGGGCTTCCTGGTCTAAGAGGGCTCGAGTGGCGCACCAGATGGAGCTGTGCAAAGGCCTTCCTGTCCACAGCTGTCACCTGCTCATTGAGCAGGAGCTGTGGGTCCAGGAAGACCCCCAAGTTGCACACCACTCCGAAATACTGAGGCGTTTCTGCTTGTCTAGACGGGTGGTGGTGATGACCTCTAGGCCATGGAGGAACTCCCACCTTGCCCAGAACTCCGCTTTCACTCCAAAAAAAAGAACGGAGCAATCACATTCTTCCTCCAGAATAAGGAGTGTGGCTGGGCGTATGGGTCTAAAGCAGTGTTTGCCAAACTTGACAATTTTCAGATCTATGGACTTCAGCTCCTAGAATTCTCAATGATGGCCATACTGGATGGGGGATTCTGGATTCTGAAGAAGTTGCCAGAGTTGGGAAACATTGTTTGAAAGGAAGGGATCCCCTCCCCCCCCCTTTCTCATATCCTTTCCCCCAATGTCTGCCGTTTGTACATGGAGAAGGAGAATCCAGTCCATGTGCCAGATTCAGCCACCTGTCCCTGGTTTACAGAATTCTGCGCTAGATGGAGCAGTGAGCTCGCTGCGCACATAACAATTCCCTGTGTTCTTATGACTGCAATGAGTAGATGAGTTTCAGGCCCTAAAAGCATCCCGCATCTCTTGCTCCACTGCAGACCCTCTGGATGCTCTTCCCAATGGCTTTGCTTCTCTCCCTCCTGATGGTGACCTCTGCTCCCTCCCCGGAGTCCCAGACGCCACGATCCTCATCAGCAATGTCTGTAGCATTGGAGGCCATGTGGCCGAGGAACTTTTCCAAGGCCCCCGAGACAAGGACAGGCTGCTGGATCCTTCGGCCATCAGGCTCGAAGCAGGGAGCCAACAGGCAGATTTAGCTCCTGAGGATGCCGAAGAGAGGCTTGGGGAGAACATGGCTCAACCCAGTCTGCTGCGGGAAGAACACATAACGTGTGTGCACAGTAAGATGAGTGTGTGTGTGGAGAGCGGGCGCCTGCCAGAGCAACAGGCTCTGTCTAGGGATCTCCGTGATTTGGCATGAGACACATAAGATGGCACCCTTGGGGTCCCATGAAAAGTCACTTTCTCAGATTCAGGTACACCCTAGACTTTGGATGGACAAAGCCTGCCTAACGTCTTCCTCTTCCAGACCATCCGATCCATCTGTTCTGGGATGATCTGGTAATTTTCTGGGAATGGTTTATGGTGATCCAGCCATGATCTTGCCCTTTGAGCACGAGATGTTATCCACCCATTGATCTGGAGCATCAGGGTGGATAACATCTCAAAAAACACCAGACCAGCCTTGAATAGCCAGATCCGCACGGTTCAGAGAAGAGTGTGGGCAGGCCTGCTCTGCAGAAAAGGTCAGGTCTTTTGAAAAGGCCTAAGCAGTAGATCGTCTCAAAGGAGTTGTTGCTATCTTCTTGCAGCCAATCATCCCCCACCCCCGTTCACACCACCAAAAATAATAAGCATTAAATTTACATCCTGCCCTTTGCCCTGTAAGTGTTGAGTCTTCCTCAGTCATAAGCTACAAATAAGCCCAGTGACCCCATGACGCCAGGAGAGCATCCGGGGGGAAGCATGGAGCTGCCTCATTGCTCTGGGCGCTCTTCTGAAGCTAAGTCAGGAAACGGTTGGGTGTACAAGGCCCCACGTTTCTTGGGTCTCGGGGGAAACTTCATACACTGGGCTGCAAATTGGGGAGAATGTGGTGGTTTTGGTTGTTTATGGCTCTTGCTTAGGGATTGTACTTTTGTTTTCCTTTTTTTCCCACCCAAATGATGGAAAACTCTTGTCAGTAGTCATAGCCAAGAAGGTTCCAGGAGGTTCATAAAGGGAACTTGAGGGGTGCAGGTCACAAACCCCTGTTTTAAAAGAGTCGAAGAGATTTGCATCTAGTTCTCTGGTGAGCCACCTCCGATCTAGGCCAATGTAACGCCAGCAGTAATAAGAGATTGTATGACTCCAGGCAGGGTGTCTGCAGGGTGCAGTCAAAGAATCGAGTTGGCGGCCGGTTTTTATGTGTGTTGCAGAGCTGTTATGGCTGCCATCTTGCCTTCATTGACCCTATTCTGCAGGCACCTCTGATCCCAGGCTTTGTCCCAGGACCCTTAGAGGCAGGCCTCCCTCTTCCTCTTCCTCCTGATTCAATCTGCCAAAAGAGACTTCGGTTGCTTCAACTCTCTTCTGTCCTTCCCGCTAGATATTTTGGATGAATTCCTGCAGACATACGGCAGCCTAATTCCCGTCAGCGTAGACGAGGTTGTGGAAAAGCTGGAGGACATTTTCCAGCAGGAGTTCTCTACCCTACAGAGGTACTATCCCCTGCTTCCCACCCCCACTCTTATTCCTCCCTGTCTCTGTGTAGTGGTCTGTGGGAATGACCTCGGGAGGCAGGAGGAAGAGACTTCGAGGTAGTCCAGACAAGAAGCTCAAACCGCGAGTACTAACACTACCTTTATTGTAAGGTTACAGCAGTGTTTCTCAAGCTTGGCAACTTTAAGATATGTGGACTTCAACTCCCAGGATTCCCCAGACAGCATGTTGAAATCCACATTTCTTAAAGTTGCCAAGGTTGAGAAACACTGGGTTACAGTAACAGAATCTTGCAAGTCTGAAAGCCCTTCTCCCCTGCTTTACTTTTACTTTCCAGAAAATGAGGGAGGGTCCCTTCTGAGACACTTCCCATGCCCCTTTTGCTGCTGTGGGCTGAGACCCCTTTTGGATGACAGTGGTCTAGGCTGCGGCTCTTCCTCCTGCTTCCCAAGATCATTCCCACAGACTGTTACACTCTGGCAGCCACTGGCCAGTTCCTCTGAGAAGCTAGCAAGCAAAGAAATGTGGAAAAAATTAGTGGAGGCATAGACGCTCTAGCAGTGTTTCTCAACATTGGCAGCTTTCAGACATATGGACTTCAACTCCCAGAATTCCCCAGTCAACTGACTGGGGAATTCTGGGTGTTGAAGTCCACACGTCTTAAAGTGTCCAAAGTTGAGTAACACTGCTCTAGAGGATGCTCCTTTGTTTCCTGGAAGTAGGCTCTGAATTATGGTGGAACATTATTAACATTTCACCTGCTTTTCAGCCAAGGTTGGACTTAGAATCCATTCTAACCAAGACTACGCTGGGGAGGGAGAAGGGGACAGAAGGAACTGCATGGGTGGGGCTGAAAAATACTCTAGGTTTGTCAAAATGAATTGTTTCCTGTCCCATGCAAAGATAAGTGGCAATAGAGAATCCTCAAACAGCTTGATGCCAGCCTTGTATCTGTCGACAAGGGAGCTCCGACAGCTTTTGCTTCACCCCATATTACAGCACTTGATGAATCTGTGCCAGTTGTTGTGAGGGACTGGGAGAGCCTCTGGACTTGGAATGCCAGATGCTGCTTGGGGGTCAACTGATGGAGAAGAAGGGCCCCAGACCCCTACCCATCTGTGAATGCCCCCGTTCCTTTTATTCTTGAGATGGTATCCAAGGCCCGTCTTCCTTTCTGGCCCGTGCAGGAAAAGCCTGGTGAACCAGCTGATCCAGTCCTATCAACGCATGCCAGGCAACGCCGTAGTACGGACCTTCCGTGTCACTTACAAACGCCATGTTGTCACCATGGATGACCTGCAGACCCTTTTTGGGTCGAATTGGCTCAATGACCAGGTATGGTTGCAGCAGACAGAGGGAGAAGGATCCGGGGAAGGAAAGTCAGAGAAGGAAAGAAGAGCAGGGGCTTCTGCTTGTAGTGGGGCTGTTGGCACAGGCGTTTGACAACAGGGTGCTTGGGGTTGCACCAGACACCCAGTTGTGCAAGGGTTGGCTCTGTGGGTGTTTCAGAGCTAAGGAGCCGAGAACACTAAAGGTCATAATCCCCTTCTGGTATTTTCTAACCTGTATAGGCTCCCGACCCATATCTGGGCTTAATTCAAAAACAATTACGCCTTTCTGGCTTGGGGTCACTCCATGTGAAGAAGATAAAGATCTTCCCAAGACTGTTCCACATGCTCTGAGTCCAGGCTGTTGCACATGGAGGACCAAAGAGCAGCTTTGGGGAGTCGGCTTTCACAGCATTTGTTTTTCGGTGGTGAAATGCCTGGCGCAGCAAGTCCACTCAGCGCGTGTCTTAAAATCAGCTCAGCACCTGTTCATGCTGGCTTTTAAAACGGCTCTGGAGCCTTTCTCCCTGGCTAGACTTCAGTGCGTTTTTTGGGGAACAGATGATTGTGAATTGTTTGGTTTTGAGTCTGGGCCTCCAGATCTTCCTCGTTTTATTTGTATTTGCCTGTTGTCATGATCCTCATGAGAGCTGTGTGCTGTAGGGCAACTGATAACTTAAGAAGTGTGATGTGGAGATATTGTTTGATGGATTATACAGTTTAATTGCTAAAAAAACCCGGGGTGGCCTTAAATTCCTGCTGATTTGTTCCCCCATCTGTAAAACAGAGAAAGTAATAATAATACTAAGAGTAGCTTGGATTGTAGCAGGATAGAAATGGAATAAACACATGTATATCTATCTACTCAGTAAGGCTATTTTAAAGGTCTCTGGAATATTCTTAGTGAAACTAGCTTCAGCCAGAGGAAACCAGAAATGATAACCTGCTATTAAATATTTGGATGAGTTGCAATAAATCTGGCAAGGAGGTCTTGCCCTTCGTTGGTTTAAAAGCAAGAGCAAATATTTGTTGTTCAGAAATGGGCTTCCACAAGCCTTGGGTTTGTTGGAATCGAGACAGAAATTTGCACTTCTCCATATATTGTGGCTGGAGTTAATTGGTTGTCTTTCTTGAGCACCATTTCATACTTGGGTTCAGTTACTGGTTGTTAGGGGAAAACATAATCCTGTAATTTGGTCCTGCAAGCCCAGGGCCTACATCCCTCTGGAGGAAAGGGGTGTGTATTTTATGGTCTTGTTTTAATCCGTCCCCATATCTCCCCCTTTGAGCAGGTCATGAACATGTACGGGGATCTTGTTATGGACACAGTGCCAGAAAAGGTGAGCCGCTTTTTCCAATCTTTTTTCCTTGCAAGATGAGTTCAGAATACATGTGAGCAAAATAGTCTGATTTCCAAACCAATTCACATTCAAAATGCTCCACTCTGTGCCTGAGGCAGGGTGCTTTGATCATTCTGAAAATGTTTTGAGCTCAAACGCCTTCGAAATGGCTGAAAGAGGCACCTTAAACATCCGACAGCCCTTCTGAGATCGAAATGTAGCATTGCGGGTGGGAAATGATTTCAATTTGAAAGTCCTGCATGCTGTGCTCAGGAGTTTAAAAGGATTAAGAGAGACACGGTCACCAGTTCAGGCTGTGAAGAAGTATAGAATTTGCTTCCCAGACAAATTGGCTCGGTTGCTGTTTTGGTCAAAGGATTCTGCTGTTACCAACCACGGCCCTTTTTTTTTGAAAAAGGGGCCATCTCCCAGTTAGATCTGGATGAGGAAGTTGGTGTTGAGGGGAGATGTCTTCAGTTAATTCCTTGATCTTCAGCAGTCAGGGTGGAAGTAACTACCACTACTGTTCTAAGTTTCCAAGGGAAGAAGAAAGAGGTTGGGGAGACAGTGAAAGGGGGAAAGGCAGCGTGCTTGTTTTTTGTTTAAAGAACGGGGAGTGGATCCCATGCCACGAGTGGACATTACAAATAGATACCGGATTTGGCAGTGGTGATCTGACAACCCAACCTGTCAAATCTCAGACAGTTCCCAGTTGGTGACACTCACAGAAGTCTTGGGATGTTTTGCTGTTATCTTGGGAAGACCTGCAACCAAGCAAGCAGGCATACGACAAACCATGGGTCAAAAGGGAGTGCTTAGGCCTAGGGTTGTGTGTCCGCCTAGATCTACGGCAGGGCTTGCTGTGTCGGGCAAATCGGTCACTGTGTCCGTGGCTGGCCAGCCAGCTGCTCGGCTCACCCTGCCTTTTCTGCACCTCCAGCTTCGTGGTTTCGCTTTTCCTTCCATCAGGTTCACTTTTTCAACAGTTTTTTCTATGATAAGCTACGAACCAAGGGGTACGATGGAGTGAAGCGCTGGACCAAAAATGTAAGTTTTTGCCAGGATTCCATTGCAGTCCACTTGTCAGGGACAGGGAAGAGTTTAGCAAAAAGGGGTGCCTGGGAATAATAAGAAGGGGGCCAGAAATTGTGCTTCAGCCATCCAGCAGATACTGAAAGCATGGAGTCAAGGACCAGATTAAAAAGACATAGCAGCTGCATAACGTCCATAAGCTACAAATTAAGCCACCAGGCTGTGAAGGATCTTAGGCCACCTTTAAACCCCTCTCCGGGTAGTTGTCAGAAGAAGCCATCCTGGGGGGGTTGCTTGGAGTCACACAAGAGAAGAGCAGCCTAAGAGCTGGCCCAATTCTGTCACTGTCAAACCGTGCAATTACAGTATAATCAGTCTATGTTGTTGTCATTCGTTTACATTTATTGGCTGCCTAATTCCAGTGAACTCTGCAAGTTTTAAGTTTCAAGCTAAGTTTAAACTTTAAGTCTTATGGCCTCTAAAGAAAATATTTTGCTGATAAGTAAATGATGTGTCATAGTTAGAATGGAAGGAAATATTAAATGTTTGAATATTTTCAAATCAGAGCACTTTTAATGGAGAGTGACATCAATTATGAGAATCAACAAAATTTGGAAATAACGGAGTGACTTACAATACTAGTTTTATTTATTTTTATTTTATAGTGCATTATTAAGAAAGAATGATAATGATAGAGCAGGTTGAAAACTATGTCTGAGTAGGCACAAAGCAGAGGAAAATAGATCAATGGAAGTGTGGATAAAATATGTGGGATAATGTATTTTCATTAAATAGGTCATTTCTAGGCCATTGTTTTAAATTTATAACTAATGTTTCAGTTAAATAAAATGGGAATGCAATGAATTATAGCAATTGAGAGAAAGTTATGGCAAAAAGATATCAAGGAGTGAGCAATAAAATAGCTGCAACAACATTTGTGTATGAAATCCGTTAGACCCTGTTTTGCATTTTGAATGCTAGTAAAACTAAGCCAATATTTATTTTGCCTAACTGTTTGTTTGAGTGCCTGAACCCACTCCAGGCCATAAGTTATGGTTTACGTTTTGGCAGCAATTCCCAATTTAAAGATACGGTTTGAAATTTGTTTATAAATTAGACTTATTTTCATCATGGTTCACCTAGAATTCACACTTCTTCCTGGTTTGCATCTGCAAATTGCTATTTTTTCAAACATTTGGGCAAAACAATGAAATTTATGCATAGTTAATGTCTTGTTTGTTTTTTGGGGGAGGGTTTAAATCAGACAAAATGGACAGTATTTGTCCTAACCCTCATAAAAATATGAAGCAGATAAAGACAAATTAACCACAACGTGGATATGGTTAATTATGATGTTGTTTGAAAAGAGAAAGGGAAAGTTAAGAACATCAACACTGCATTTTCTCTCTGGTCTCTGACTAACACAAGCCACTACCAGGCTGCGATGTTGGGGGAAGCATGGGAGCTGTAGTCCGGCCTATCTGAAGGGTTCTGTTGGATATGGCTACCCTGAAACCTGTTGCACAGGCCCAAAGTGTATAAGGTATTCCTACCCAAAGCCCAAGGTGCTGCTTTTTGACCAGAGGTCACACAGGAGCTTAAGCCCGGGCACCCTGTCCACAAGGACAGCCGGGTAGGGAGAAGGTGGAAGCCGCAGCCTGCTGCAAGACCGTGCTGAGCTCCGCTGGTCCCCCCACAGGTGGACATCTTCAACAAGGAGATCCTTCTGATCCCCATTCACCTCGAGGTTCACTGGTCACTGATCTGTGTGGAGGTGAAGCAGAAGAAAATCACTTACCTGGACTCCCAGCGCACCCTGAACCGGCGGTGTCCCAAGGTAAGGGAGACCCATGACTGGCGGCAAAGGGTTCGGAGCCTCCAAGGTCCCGGGGAGGTCGTGGGCCCAAGGGAAACCCGGCAGGGCCCTCCTGGAGCACAGTCTTGCTGTCTTTGAGCAGAGGCCATGACAGTTCACCGCTGTTTTGGAGACTTAATTGAGACTTGCAGGATAGAGGTGGGCATGCTGGAATGGGATTGCGCCGAGGGCTTTTGCCAAGAGGTCTCTGTGTTTTCAGAGGTGCCAAGCAGCAGTGTGGCTGTCTGAGGGGAGCCTGGAGGTGGGGTGGGAATTGGGCTTCAGCCTAACCCAAGTGTGCTCTTTCATGCGCCTGCCTCCTCTCTCCACCGCAGCACATCTGCAGGTACTTGCAAGCAGAAGCAGATAAGAAGAACCGCCCCGACTTCCGAGAGGGCTGGAAAGGGGTTTTCCAGATGGTGGGTGTCTCTTCCCATGCATTTGGGAGCAAGGGGGGGCAGTTAGCAAGCTTCTTTGTATTCTTCAAGTTAGCCCGACTGCCTGAGTTTCTCAGGGTCCCCCGTTGATCGCCATTTGATTTGCACCCCCTGCACTTTGACCCGGGAGGATCATCCCTGTGGCAGCAAGAGGGATAGGCCCAAGAGCAGGGTTTCTCAATCTTGGCAACTTTAAGATGAGTGGACTGGGGAATTCCGGGAGTTGAAGTCCACTCATCTTAAAGTTGCCAAGGTTGAGAAATACTGCCCAAGAGGATCTTCTATTATTTCCTGTTGGCCCTTGGCCGCAGCCTGCTGAGTCCACTGCTCCCTTTTTTATTCACTTTCTTTGCCTCTCGGGGGGAGAGAAAGGTGGGGGAAGCCAGAAAACAGCCGCTGCAGAAGACTTGTGGCTGGCGCTGCCCCACGGCCTCCCCACGGTAGATCTCTAGCCTAAAGAGGGCTCACCCAGTGCAGATGGTGGCCTGTCAGCTGCCCAAGAGAGGATCCCAGGAAGGGGAAGGGAACTGAAGCTGGGAGAGAAGAAGATAAGAGAATAACAGCCAGGGAATCTCTTTCTGACCCCTGCATTGGGTCCTACAAAGCTGTCATTGATTGGGTCTGTTTTACGGCCACGCTACTAGGCTATAATATGGATGGTTTATTTCTGGTGACATATGGAGCCTGCCAGGTTTGTGAATCAGAATGTTACGGTTGAACTCTTTGGGTTTAGGTGGCTGTGTAAATCCAGCCCTTTGCAGGGTCCGGCCAGAGAAGGGCTCTCGCACCATTAATCACCCGCCCTGATCCTTTAAGCTGATGCTGTGCTCAGCTGATTGGAGAAGATGACGTCAAATATCTCTCCGCTGCTGGGCAAAAGCTAACGATAAGGCAAGAATTGGGTGCCCAGAGTAGCTTAGATATTGGGGAGGAGGGCAGAGATGACGTTTTGGCAGACATAATGCATGCCGGTGGGAGCCCAGACGAGGAACGGGGGCGATCCTAGGCCTGTGTTCTCAAAGCATGGGGTGCTCAGATCAGGAGAGGCTGCAGATGGCTGGGAATAGGAATCCTGGGACAGTGGAGCACTTGCTCTTGCCCCCGCCTGCCCCTGCCGGTCTGACCCGTCTCGTTTCTCCCACTCAGAACATCGCCAGACAAAACAACGACAGCGACTGCGGAGCCTTCGTCCTGCAGGTGAGATGGCAGGTGCAGAATGGCCCCTGGCACTGGGCAGGGCCCACAGAAAAACCAGGTGTCCGGGGGCTCCTTTTATAACTGTTCAAAGGCAGCAGCTTTCCAGAGCTGCAGCTCACAAACCTCTTCTGCTTTGAATAACATTTGCTACTCGAAAAGGAGCTTCCAGACTTCTCCCAATTTTTGGCTACTGTAGACTGACCTGGTTCTCCCCCTACTCTCTTTCCCTCTGACTTTCTTTTCTCCTCCCCAATCACTGTAGGGATTTGTAAACACTGCTTACAGTATGCTATGGATAGTTGTGTAATTCTGGTGCAAATGAAGAATCGTACCTGCATTTGCATTCAGTAAATCATGGCTTTTATATTTGTGTAACAAACAAGTTTTCAGTGCTGCAAACATTGTCCACTAGGACCATGTAGTACTTCAGATTTGATTCCAAAAGGGCTTCAGAATGCAGGGGGCGCAACCGTAGCGCCTATTTGTGGCTGTTTAAAGCAGCCACGTCTGTCCCCAGGGTCATGTTCCACAGCAGCAGCAGCTTTTTGGAATTGAATCCAGAGGGCTGGACAACCCTATTGTCCAGATGTAATAGCTACAGATGAAAAAAAGAATCAACGCTGCTTCTCCGCTCAGGGCTGGATGGCCCAGGAGCCACCCCACCACGCCAGGCGTTGTGGCCAAGCTCCCTTGCATTCTCCGTCTAAGTCACGTGATCCTTGGGTAAAAAAGCTGGCATTGAAGAGGGCCCTGAAGACAGCCAGGAGTGGAGCCCCAGGGGTCCAGCTTCAGGGCTTCCCATCTGTGGGGCAGGTTGTTAAAATTCCAATTTCTCTGCATCGGAACTTCAGTCATTTTGGCATGGAATGACTTCTGGTGATTCCTTTGACTTTAGGTGCTGTGGCAGGTTGATTTTTCCACTTACTGCCTATGTGTATAAAGCTCAGGATTAAGCGGTCCATGCCGATGACATGGTTTGGCCTCCTGTAAGCCCCCAGCCTGCACAGCTTCTGTTTGGGGACTGCAGGAGTTGTTCCAGATACCTGGAAGGCACCGTTGCTCAGCAACCCTCTTATAGTGGGTCCTTTCAGCAACCTTGAGGGGCTCTGACCCGCTTCCTTGGAGTGGGTTGGAGTGTTATGCCCGCAATCCGTGCGTCCTTTGTGTGCGGCAGCTGCGTGGTCCCCATCCCAGAGTAACAGCCAACCCTTCCGAGAAGGTATTACGTGAGGTTTGAAGGGCTCCTCTGCCCTCGCTGCTTAGGTGGGTACTGCCCGCGCCCGGCCTCTCCTTCCTCCCCCGGGGGGGGTGGTTTTGGCTTGGGCCCTCCCCATCTTTGGCTAGATAGATTTAACCATCCTGGTCCCTGCCCTGCCCTTTCCAGGCCGCTGGACTTGGCCGCACTGTAGAATCCTCAGCCCCTTTCTCTAAAATGCAGCTTTGTGGTTTTCGCTTTACTGGGAAGAATGTGTCGCTGTACTGATTTCTGGGCGAACCCTGGACGTTGGGCGGAGGCTGCTGCCGCTGCACCGTCTACATGGGCTCCCTCCCATCGTGATTAGCAGAGAGGAAAATTAATCCATCGATCGATCAATCGATCAATCGATCTCTTTCTCTTTGTTTTTTCTCACATAGTATTCCAAGTTCCTGGCGCTGGGCCTCCCCTTCACCTTCACGCAACAAGACATGCCGAAACTCCGCCGACAGATGTACAAGGAGCTGTGCCATTGCAAACTCATTGCATGACAGCCCATCTACGCCCCGCTCCCCCCGCCCCCCCCTCGGACAGAGCGGAAGCGTCGTCCTTTCCTCCTCGGCCCAGGAGCGCCTCTTCGTCCGGCCAGGGGGCAGGTCCGAACCTCACTGGGTTTCAGGCAGAGACAAGGGAACTCCCGAGGTTTGATAAACCGGACTTACGTGGGAGGGAGGCATTTTTTACCCAAGTTGCCCCCCACCCTTCTTTCTTTTCTTTCTGGTCTTTTTGTTTGGTTTTTGTTCATATTTAAACCCAGGACAGGGTGGCATTTCTCTCGGTTGTTTCATTTGGGAAGGGGGGAGGGTTGGGGGTTGGAGCTGGGGATGGCTGAGATGGGAGATCTGCACCTCGCCTGCTCTCTGCAGTTGCTCACTCCAGATCTGAGAAAAGGGTGTGGGGTCCTGAAATTAGGACCAGGAGGGGAGGGAGAAGAGGAGTCAATCCTGCCCCCCCCTCCCTGTTGGCTTCTTTGTGTTAGTGAATAATGTATTTTTTCCCGAGGGGGAAGGAGTTGAAGAGGGAAGGGGCTGTGGTGGGTGGGGGCAGGGACAGGTTTCTACACTGGGGCCGAGATAACCGAAACAAGCATTTTTTATACGTTGGCTGCCATTGTGGGTAATAAAAAATGTTCTTTCGAGAAGCATACAAGCGAGCTGGACTTCTGATACCCCTCCCTAGTCCTCCCACCCAGGAGCACCGGGAAGTTGCAGGCCGTTCTTCTGAGTCAAGCAGAGTTTTGAGACCATGGTATAGTTCAAGGAACAGAACTATAAGAACTTCTTGCCAAAGAAGGCTTGCAACAGAGGGGTCCCCCTGTCTGGTTCCCTCGTGCACCCTGGACACCTGCGTGCCTTGTATGGGTGTCTCTGCCACCCCAGGTGGCTTCGCTTGGCAGAGGAGCCCTTGGGAGGGGGTAGGCAATGGCCTCTGGGGCCTTCAGAGCCCCACTTTCCTTGGGACAGTGATCTCTCCTTGGCAGCTTCCCGCAAGCCACACTACCTAGGAAGCATGGGACTTGTAGTCCCAAGGCACCAGCTTGAGAAAAGCTGCTTTGAACTCCACAACTGGTCTACTCCCAAGTAGCCTCTCAGTGAGCGTTGAAAGGGACTGAATGCACTCCTCTGAGCCTCTTCCTGGTTTAGACAGCTTATTGTGCACGTTTGCCAGCGGTGACTCATTTAATAAGCCATGGTTAAGCCCTGGCTTAATTCAAGATCTGAGCCTTAGTGTAGCTGTTTCATAATGGGGAAAGGAGCATTTTCCTTTTGGGGGTTTATTAATGGAATTTCTAGGCTGAGTTCGAACAGTTGGCAAAGGACGACAGCCACCGAAGGCGTTCCTGGGGAAGGCTGAGCTGGTCTGCAGCTTCCAGTGGTCGGTCCTGCCGGTCGGCTGTCTCCGGGGAGGAGGCCTATCCGCAGCTCCCTGGGGCCGGCCGAATGATGGGCCCACCCAGCCGGGGTCCCAGCCGCTCAGTTCCTGGGGGTCCTCCCAAAGGGGCTGAGGAGGCAGCTCTTCAGACGAGGCCTCGGTGCAAAAGGGCCACCGCGCCTTCCGAGGAACTGGACCGCAGCACTGGCACGTGGGCTGCCTCTGGGCACCCTCGGTCCACGTTCACCCCATTAGTGGAGGCCCTGCATGCCACCCCTGGGCAGGGGTGGGGAGGGGCGATTCCTGGGGGAGGAGGTTAGCCCGGTCCCGCCATGGTGGACTGCACCTGCGGGGGGAGGCCCAGGGGCTTCTCTGCGGGGAGCAGATGCTGGATCACAGAAGCTTACGCTGTAAGGGGGCCGT